TCAGTGTGCCAGTGTGGTGGGGTGTTCAATTTGCCAGGGTGGTGGGTGTTCATGGTGACATGCTGGAGGGGTGTTCATTGTGACAGTGTGAGGTGGTGATTATTATTCTGGTATCAGTATGATGGTGAGACAGACATTACACTTGACTGGTCAGTACAGAATCCATGTTTGAGATATCGGTCAGCCCTGGAGTAATGAGAGCTGATGCTGGGAATGTTTGTTATTGTCTGGTTCCATTATTTTCTCATCTCCCATACACTGTAGATGTGTTTATGCCAGGAAGTAGAGATCAAATGTAAACATGTACGGCTGTGTGTCTCATCTAAGTATTCACCAGCACACACTAGGTTGAGGACCAGGGTCTTGCTGGGGTGTCTGTCAGCTCGCCATGTCAGTGTGACACCACACAGTTCACTGCATATTACCTCACTGAAATAGATCTATGATCCATCAGTTGAGTTAATACAGACACGTGCTGTAAATAGCCTGGTAAATGTTGTGTGTTAAGGGGTGTGTGTGGTTGGAGATATTGATGGCACATTGATTTTGGTGGCAGTGTTTGACAAGCACTGTTTTCTTTGTCACCTCCATGTACATGACATTCTTGTGTGCGGGATCTATGGGAACTGACAAACACAGCCTGGTGTGGTGGTCGGGGCAAGCAGGATGGAGCAAGTCTCTTCACTTGAACAGTTGAACATTGAAATGTGGTGTACCTGGATAATCAGAAGGTACGTGGTGTACGTTCTGTCTGGCCAGACAGTAGATACTTGGTGTACATTGTGTTCGAGCACCCTGGACATTTGGTAGAGACGAGTGTACCTTGTGTTCGAGCAGCCTGGACAGTTGGTAGAGACGAGGGTACCTTGTGTTCAAGCAGCCTGGACAATTGGCAGAGACGAGTATACCTTGTGTTCGAGCAGCCTGGACAATTGGCAGAGACGAGTATACCTTGTGTTCGAGCAGCCTGGACAATTGGTAGAGACGAGTGTACCTTGTGTTCAAGCAGCCTGCACAATTGGTAGAGACAAGTGCACCTTGTGTTCGAGCAACCTGGACAATTGGTAGAGACGAGTGTACCTTGTGTTCGAGGAGCCTGGACAATTGGTAGAGACGAGGGTACCTTGTGTCTTTTCACGATGCCATGTATGTCCCCATGGCATCAGCTCTGCAGTGGGTGAAGTCAGGTAATACCTTACATACATAAGGGATGCTGGCTAGGGGGATACCTTACATACATCTGAGGGATGGTGACTGTGGGGATACCTTACATACATCTGGGGTGCTGGCTAGGGGGATACCTTACATACATCTGAGGGTTGCTGGCTGGGGATACCTTACATACATCTGGGGTGCTGGCTAGGGGGATACCCTACATACATCTGAGGGATGGTGACTGTGGGGATACTTATGGGGAAATGGCCATGTAAAGAAGCAAAGAAGGGTAACTCTTGCAAGCTGAATCACAGAATTATCTCCATCATGTAATTGTGTAAGTGCCTTCTGGACGGTCGCCATTCCAGAGCTGGTAGTTGCTTTGTTTGGGGTTGTCATATTGATTGTTATAGGCGTGTTGACTCGGGTAGGTGTGTTGACTCAGGTAGGCGTGTTGGCTGGGGCAGGCCTGTTGACTTGGGTAGGCGTGTTGACTCGGGTGGGTGTGTTGACTGGGGTAGGTGTCTTGACAAGGGTAGGTGTCTTGACAAGGGTTGTAAGTGGTTTTATTTACTCTGTTGACAATATCATATGAAAGCTTTTTAAATAGGGTTTATGACATCTCAGGTGTTATTGAAAACAGACTCTTGAATACATGTGGGAGGTTCATGTTCCACACATTGGTATGCAGATAGCAAATTAACTGGTCATTCCTGGAATTCCACCCCCCAACCCTCCTCTCATTGTGATCACTGATCTTGAACACCAAGTTGTAGTAAGGTAATACTCTGACAAACATAACACTTGGTCCTTGTCAGTGACCAGCTGACACGCTGTGTTTTACTGAATGAACACTGCTTCCTGGTGGAGGTCAAGTGTGGCTGCTGTTGTCCTGGTTTCACGGCAGGCTAATGATGTTCAGTGAATGTGTTGATGTTTCCATCAGTAATCTACTTTATACATACAACCGAGCCACGCCACCTGGTGTCAGGTCAGGACATTACCATGTTGCCACACACAGCAGGGAGGTGTGATCTAGGTGCAGGATTATCAGGGGGGCTACACAGGGTTCCCAGTCGGCCTTCCTGTGTGAGGGATTACGTCCACAATAGGGTTTGGGGAGCTCAGTATGTAGGGTGGTGATCACTGACACATTGACTGAGATGATTTGAAATTCATGAAAAAACTTTCTGATCCTATTTTTTATGAAGTGGTTGTTTGATGGCAGTTTAAGCTTCACGTGTGTACAAACATAGCCTTGACCAAACTTTGTGAATAGGGTAAGTTAATAAAACCTTTACATATCCTACAGAAAACAAACCTTCAGTAAGTCCTGTGATATACTGGAAATCCACAAAGTTTTGCGGGCAGGAAAGTTTTGCTAGTATTGCGAATGATCTCCAGGTGCAAAACTTTCCAGGCGTAATGACGTCTCTTATTTTCTTAAGCAATTATTCCCGGTCCATGTAAATTACGTGATCAAACAATGTCAAGAAGTCCAGATGTTCGCCTACCGGTAATTCCTCAACACAATGTACTTACTTCACAGCAATCACTAACATACTGCGTCTACTCACGTCTCGAAATGAAGTGTAGTTGACAGTAAATGGATTCGCATACATATTTTGTTTCGCCAAAAGTCATAATTAGTGTAGCTGGACGATCACATGTCAACAAACTGCTTTTGCAGTGGAAATAGCGAGATCGCGCAAAACCTCATCGGTGACAGGTTAAATTGTTCCATGCATAAAAACTAGCCAGCAATTCACTAAAAAGCTGTCGCATAACCTTAGTTATGATTATAAATATTTTACATTTATAGAGCAGAGCCTGCAATGAAAATGACACAATACTAGAATATATTTCTCTTTATAAAACAATAGTTCGACATACTATCTTTTTTAAGATCACTGCATCAGAAATCATCTTGGAATATTATCGGGTATGTTTTAACTAACTCGCCGGTAGGGGAACGTGTGCACTGCACAGCTGATTGCTATTTCCAGCGCTGTGTATGACAAAATTACATATGGTAATCTTAATCCCTGCATATAAGACAATGCCTAGCAAAAACAAATTAGAACTGAATAGGTAAATAAATTAATCTTTTCTTGAGATGTTTAATTACAAATTTGACGTCTTTGGTCTTCTCTGTATGTTCGTTCACGCAAAGCGATACTATGTATTGTCAACAATTCGACTTGTTTTACAAGAGGAGGACTTGCAAAACAAACATGACGTAGAATTGGCTGGATTGTTGATCACACAAAACATTCACAACGGGGAACTTTGTCGATTTACAGTATTCTGAGTGATTGACATTGCCCTGAATCACAATAACTGAGCCTAATTCATGATGCTTTTGATATTCTTTCTGTGCATTAAGTGGAAGAGGGGCCGTGGGGTAGCCTAATGGTTACAGTGTTCGCTTGTCATGCTGAAGACACAGGTTCGATTCCCCACATGGGTACAATGTGTGAAGCCCATTTTCTGGTGTCCCCTGCCGTGATATTGCTGGAATATTGCTAAAAGCGGCGTAAAACCAAACCCAGTCAGTCATTAAGTGGAAGACTCACTAGCCTTAGTAGCAGGCTATACCTCCCCTCTTCAGCCCTCCCCTCACTGCACTGGTCAGTCTGCTAGTAAATGAAGGCTACAGATAGTGATTACGAGCAAACACCTAGTTGTTGGTCACAGCAACGTGCAGTAAACTTGGACACAGTACTATGACTATGTGTCCCAGCTGTGTGGGTAGCTCGGAAGGATAGAAAAGTCACAATTCGGTGCGCCTAGTGGCTGCGAGAGTTGTATGATCCCCAGGGAGTTGAGATGGATAATACGATGTGACGTTGAGATTGACATCCAATAATCTAGGGAAAAACAAAGCACCTGTGAGCAGCCTAGCTGGAACTCGGTGCTATATAAATAGATTATGATAATTATAATAATAATACTTGGAACAAAGACCAACAGCTACGCCAGAAGTGATATCTCTGCCACCCTTACTGACTGAAGCCCACGGATGTTGAAGTCCTTACTAGGTTACTTCTGACCATGTGTGTGCAGGGTACTTACTGACTGACCGGATGTGAAGTCCTTACTAGGTTACTTCTGACCATGTGTGTGCAGCCCACACCAGAAGTGATATCTCTGCCACCCTTACTGACTGAAGCCCACGGATGTTGAAGTCCTTACTAGGGTACTTCTGACCATGTGTGTGCAGCCCACACCAGAAGTGATATCTCTGCCACCCTTACTGACTGAAGCCCACGGATGTTGAAGTCCTTACTAGGGTACTTCTGACCATGTGTGTGCAGCCCACACCAGAAGTGATATCTCTGCCACCCTTACTGACTGAAGCCCACAGATGTTGAAGTCCTTACTAGGGTACTTCTGACCATGTGTGTGCAGCCCATCATTACCTGCTGCCAGTGTTAGTATGTTAGTGAATCATGAATGATTAAAAGTGACATCAATTATTCAACAATCAAATGATACTCTTTGTGTTCAGGGATCAGAGTACGAGGAATCAACTGGGATCGCTGAAGTTAGAAATGTCACATGTTTAAAGTTCAAAGTCAAGGTTGTGACATTTTGTACCCATTATGCCTAATGGTGAATATCTCGTGTGTGACAGACTAACAGTGTCTGTACAGACACCCTGGAGGAGAGTGACATGATGTCTGGCTAGACGTGACCTGCATCTATTAGAGTAACAGACTTACTGTCTTCTTGGTGTGTCCATGTTGATGTCGGAGAACAACCTCTGTTTGATGAACTCCCCTGTGTACCTGTAGCCTGTCTCAGTGGGGTTGTAGGGGGACTTATGATGTTATCATCCCACGTGACTTGGTAATCGGTCCTTGTTTCCCATGACTAGCGAAGCATGAACACTGCATATATTATCCTAATAAGCAGACATGTTAATGAAGACTGACAACACTTGAAGTTGAAGATTAAAGGAAGACAACCCTTGTAGTGAATCCTGTCAGTATTGGTTGTAATGATAACACATTGGCCTCCTATGTCCATGAGACTGACTTGATGACCGAAGCAACAGGTGGTGTTGTTGCTGAAATGTAGATGGACAATAACAAGCTGGACTTGTCCACCTGTCTGACTACAGTAACACTGTACAGGCTGAGGGAGTGGAGGTGCAGTGTGACCCTTGTGACACAGGGCCAATCAAGTGGATTCCCTCCACAGCAGGCCCTCCCTCTGTCTCAGCCAAGCCTCTCCACGCGGGAAGACCAAGTATTGATCCTGGCCAGATCTGGCAGACGACAACGAACACTTCATGGTTGACTGGTGTACCCTGAAGCAGTGGTGCAGCAGCCGTGGTAGATAGTCGACATTACGCGGGCTGCGTCCACACACTGGACACTGGTGTACAGCTGTACTATGTAGATGCTTCAAGGACTGGCATGGTGCAGTGACACTCCCTGGAGGATATTTACTGTGACAAGAATATGAGGTGGTTCTGTTGACAGCCTGGGATGGCGGGCTACAGATCTGGCTTTCAGTCGGAAGAGTTTAAAGCAAAAGCCTTCTATCACAGGCTTCACTGTCTCAAAGGTAGGCCATGCATCATTTTCAGGGTTGGTGATGAGCAGTGTTGATGACATGTCTCAATGTGTGTTGTGCTGGACAGACCCTGTATACACTGTATACTATAGAGGGCCACAAGGGCCACACGGTGTCACTGCTGATTGAATGAAGGTGGGGAAATATGCAGAAGTGATTTAGTGTAAGTGCATCAATCAAAATTTGTTAATTCTGAACTGCCACTATCACAGCCTGTGGTTTGTTTGTGTAACCAGCTGGTAACCGATCTCGTTGTCATGGTAGACAGTACAGGGGGTCGTGCTGTGTCTCTGGGTAGTCAGCGGTGGACCACAACATGATATTACCCAAACTTTATGACTTGGGGACACTCTTCAGTTGTTGGTATACTGGCAGCAAGCAATAAATCCCCAACCAGTGGGTTGTTAGTCTCTGGTTGTATAGACAATACATGTTCACATTCACCAGCGACTGTCTAATACTCCTGAACATAGAGGCCAGATTTCTTCTTCTATAATGATAAATGTTCTGAGTAATTATCTGCTCATGACTAATTAGTCAATTATAATTGTGTTACCATGGCCCTGTAGCCTGACTCTAAAATAACGTAAGCCTTCAGTTGCCTCGTCCTATGAGGTGAACTGTGGTATTATCTACATCTTCTTCTAAGACTGACCTGTGACCTGTGACTGATGTCATGAAGGAAAATGGTCCCAAGAGGCTCGGCTCATTGAAATGGTGATACTGCATGGTACTGACGGAATCCTCATCACCACTCTTGTCTTACCCCCTAGTGAAAGTCCATGTGCTGCATAGCAATTCTACATATTTCCCGAGATACATATGAATATTCTGACATGGAGAGTCTGCAGGATACACAGAGATCGTTGGGGCTGCCGACCTAAGGCTTCCTGGCTCGCCTCTGTTGGCATCTGCCTTCCACACAGGGAGGGGTGGGCTTAGCTTCACTCACCATTCCAGGTAATCAGGATATTGGCAGCAATCAGGCATATATGTTCATCAATGTTATTGGCCATGTGGTACACTGACATTGTGAATATGCCAGTGCCTTCCTCGCTCAACCACTACCTCCGACACTTGTTCGTTCGGTTCAATACAGTTAACTAACAGAAGTTAAGCTGATAGAAGCAGAACTACTTTCATCCCACTAAGAAACTTCTTTCATGTAGTGGCAATTAAAAATGTGTGGTTTCCTCTGGGCAGAGTTGCTCAAGTGTTGCCTTGTTCTGCCCGACCATGTCAAGTGTCTCCAGAGTTCCTGACCGTGTGTGTCAGTGCATGATACTCTGTGTCACTGTGTGTCATGTAACTTTGGACTGCAGGAAGTAGGAAGTGAAAGCTGTACATTTCCTCATTTGTGAGCTGAGGTAATTATCCGGCCAGGCTCCATTGAGGAGGCATCTCACCTATCACATACCAGGTGTTTATAGTGTTCATACCTTGTACACTTGATCGTGATGGGTCTTATACTGACACACATGGTTTACTGTTCTAGAATTCCCTAGCTTTAATCTGTGATAGACATAGGATTTTCCATTTGCTGAATCATAAACAATCTGATGTTTATTGTGTGTTCCCAAGGAGACACATCCTTGTGTTATTGGTTTTCAGACACTCATGAACATCCGTTGTTGTCTCAATTATCCCATGAATAAAACATGTCATTAACTTCGGAAAGATAACTTTATGCTGAACACAAGCCATCATTTTAGAATCTGCAAGGTCAGTGTGATACACCACCACTGGTTGTACTATGAGTATACTCGGTGACCTTCCAATGATGATCACCGGAACAAGTGCTGCTGTTGCTAAAGCAGTAATCATTCATTGCGGTGATCACCTTGTTTGTGGTGATTGACAGAGGTGAAATATAATCAGCTATACCTCCCCCTTACATGATTATTGATGGCAGGTATTTCATCATCACTGATGCCTAGTGGGAGGATTACCTGCAAGTTGAGAGCTGATGAATAGGCTGTATTATACTCAGTGTGTAAACAGGGGATTTATGTCAACAACAGCCAACATTAATGAGCTCTTGAGTATGACTTGAATGGGGTGCAGAGAATCAAACATTCATAATCATTATTGGATGCTTGACTAATATTTGTACAGGTAATGAAAGTGTTATGCCACCTTTTGTCTGGGTTGTAGCTGGGAGTTTGCCACAGTTACACACTGTAATTAACACAATTCATACCAGTCACTTGATTGCCACCTTACACCAATAGCTACAGTGCAGGTATACGATGAGTATTCCTAGAAAGCATTTACTTCACCACATAGTAAAACTCCGTGAAGTTCTTCTTGGTGATCATTGCTTGATGTACCAAATATGTTTTGGTTGTAGCAGGTAATCGTTAGTTGTAGCAGGTAATTGTTTTGGTTGTAACAGGTAATTGTTGGTTGTAGCAGGTAATTGTTGGTTGTAGCAGGTAATTGTTTTGGTTGTAACAGGTAATTGTTGGTTGTAACAGGTTATTGTTGGTTGTAGCAGGTAATTGTTTTGGTTGTAACACTACTAAGAGTAAATTGTTTTGGTTGTAGCAGGTAATTATTTTGGTTGTAACAAGTAATTGTTGAACATAGAGATTTTTTCTGGGTTACATCTTCTTTTTTATTCTTTTTTAAAAGAAGATGCTTAACCCAGAAAAAATCTCTATGTTCATCAAATATCATCTTCTAAAATGCCAATCAAGCATCTAAAGTAATTGTTGGTTGTAGCAGGTAATTGTTTGTTGCAGCAGGTAATTATCTAATGACGCTGGGAGCCTATCCTGCCATGGAATGGCAAGGCCAACCACCTTCTATAGTCCGTTTGGCTCAAAAGTGGACCGATGAATTGCAATCTAACTCGAAAACTAATAAACATAACATACTCAATGAAATGCTGATCATAATCAAAATATCATACCAACTCTGTGAGGTTTTTGCAGAATTTTTGTCCCAAAAATTAAAAAGTTGTTTAACAAACTATCATTAAAATATTGACACAGTTCACTGTTTGGTACGAGGGAGGAGTGCAGAGAAAGGGACAGCCAGGTGTTCGAGAAGCACGTTCACAGACAAAGTTATTTATTCATTAATCTGTGCTGTGCCGTCTCCATCCATTCTCGAACACCTGGCTGTCCCTTTCTCTGCACTCCCTCGTACCAAACAGTGAACTTTGTCAATATTTTAATGATAGATTGTTAAACAACTTTTTTAATTTTAGGACAAACATTCTGCGAAAACCTCACAGAGTTGGTATGATGTTTTGATTATGATCAGCGTTTCATTGAGTATGTTATGTTTATTAGTTTTCGAGTTAGATTGCAATTCATCGGTCCGCTTTTGAGCCAAACGGACTATAGCCATTGACTGCATTGCCCCTTCTGGCTATTTAGAACATATTTGTCTACTGTTTACATGAATCAAGGTCATAGGTGGAGATTTCAGCCATAAAGCATTACTTTCCTTTAACATTCAGTTTAGTTTGAGAGCACTGAGCTGTAACATTTAGTTTATCTGTTGTGTCCATTATCCCCAGAATTTGTAAAATGTTTTAGAACTATATATGGTTACTATAGAGACATGCTCTATAGGCCACTATGTTGTCATGGTGACGATTGATGTTTTTCCTCAATGCTGAGTGCGTGCCAGAGAGTTGAGGGTGGTTCTGCCTGGATGCACACCAGCGACCTGCGTGGGTCGATGTTGAGGAGGCAGGCAACTGATGCTGCCATGCATGAGCAGATCAGCCTGTGATAGTCGTGTTTCTTATCCCCTTAAACGCATCTGTTGATCCAGTCATTCATATTTTATTAGCCTGAGCTAAGAGGTTTGTGTAGATACTTTCAACAGAAACTGTATGTATGTTACATCAAGGAAATCATAAATATTGACAAATAATAATTTATCTTTGCCTTTAGTGTTTGTAGCAAAAGTGTGTTCTCACAACTCATACACAATGATCATTGGGCCGAACGCTGCTAAAGTATAATTACTGTGTTACCCAGTGGAACAAATCACTTTGTAAATAGCAACAAAAATGCTTAAGGAGGCTGTCTCCTAGCATGCAGTGATAACTGATATATACCCTGGCTTTAGTGGACTTTGGACATTCATGCAGTGAAAACTCATACATACACCAGCTGTGAACATCAGCTCAGTGATTACTGATATATACACTGGCTTTGGTAGACTGTGGACATCCACGAGCAGTGAAAACTCATACATACACCAGCTGTGGACATCAGCTCAGTGATTACTGATATATACACTGGCTTTGGTAGACTGTGGACATCCATGCAGTGAAAACTCATACATACACCAGCTGTGGACATCAGCTCAGTGATAACTGATATATACACTGGCTTTACAAGGTAGTGGACATCCATGCAGTGAAAACTCATACATACACCAGCTGTAGACATCAGCTCAGTGATTACTGATATATACACTGGCTTTGGTAGACTGTGGACATCCATGCAGTGAAAACTCATACATACACCAGCTGTGGACATCAGCTCAGTGATTACTGATATATACACTGGCTTTGGTAGACTGTGGACATCCATGCAGTGAAAACTCATACATACACCAGCTGTGGACATCAGCTCAGTGATTACTGATATATACACTGGCTTTGGTAGACTGTGGACATCCATGCAGTGAAAACTCATACATACACCAGCTGTGGACATCAGCTCAGTGATTACTGATATATACACTGGCTTTGGTAGACTGTGGACATCCATGCAGTGAAAACTCATACATACACCAGCTGTGGACATCAGCTCAGTGATTACTGATATATACACTGGCTTTGGTAGACTGTGGACATCCATGCAGTAAAAAAAACCCACCGAACATACACCAGCTGTGGACATCAGCTCAGTGATAACTGATATATACACTGGCTTTACAAGGTAGTGGACATTTATGCAGTGAAAACTCATACATACACCAGCTGTAGACATCAGCTCAGTGATTACTGATATATACACTGG